ATCTTTGTAAATAACTTCAGTAAAAAACAAAAACGATTTTCAAAATTTCGTTTTTTCCGGATATCTCCGAAAGTAGTCAGAATTTTCCGTTTCAAAACTGTTTTTGTTAAGCATCAAAATACAAAACTTTGCCAAATTTACTACCTACATATCTCTTACAGTTCCCGAGATACCCATGGTGGCCCTCGAATTTGAATCAGCCTGTATATTACTAATTTACAAAAGACCATCCCTCGAATGTAAGACATGGGGAACAAATGTATATTTAGGTACAAACGGCTAAAAAATAAAAAAAAAATCGGTATACCGTATGTCACCGGAATGACTTTACAAGAAGAAAAACTTTTACTATAATTTTTGACAAAAATGCATTCTCCATAAAAGCTTTTGCTTGTTCTAATTCGAAATTTCCCTATCGTTTCAAAGAAAAATACAAAAAAAAACGAAAATATGGTTGAACTTTTTCCAAGTCCTAAAAGTCAAAACGCGTCTCTACCGTAATAACATTTCGTTAGTTACAAAGTCTTCGTTGCCTGTTATATGAATAGGACTAGGATCGTTATAAGTATAACAAACACACTTCGTAATGACATTGAATAAAAACCTCTCTATTCAATGGTAACAATGAAAAAGAATTGAATTTCCAAAGGTGTTTTCTTAGAAATGTCGTCGTTTTACCGTTAAGTGAAGGAATCGCGAGTTTTAGTGAGGGTCCTTCCAAACAAAAAGCCCCTGTCGCCACTTGTAAACCAATTTTACGACCTTAATTTTGCCAATAATTACGCGATTTTTGCTTCATACGTTACGTTACAAGCGGTTCATTATTCTCCTCAAGTTATATGCGGTAGAGAGCTAATTATAATTTTGTTAACCTAGCAGTCTGTAAGAAGCCGTGAACGACCTTGCGTTTGTGTTTTGTATCTTCTTGTCGTGTGGTTATGCAAATCAAACTGCATTTTTTTAAAGCTCCCTCTGTGTTGTTTGGGGCCCACTTAAAGAGAGTATATAATGATTTAAATATATAGTTGTATAGAAAACTGCTGTAGTTACGCTATTCATTATTAGGTACCAGCACAGTCTAACGAAAAAAACTTTGTCCTTTACTATGGGTACTTCTCTTTTCAGGCAATCCCAGCCTTAAAACTAAACGAGACTATAGATCGTCTCACGTAAAAAAGGAATCGGGAGAAAGTAGTGTAACCTCCCACTAAGTTTATTGTTCATCTCAATGTCGCTGTGCTTTGAATAAAGATAGGTATAAAACTGGTAATTATTCGGGCCGTTGGAACCACCCTCTAGACTCCCAATGAATGAGCGAAGTGTTTATAACCGCATAGATGTTTATAATTTGAATGGTCAACTGTATAAGCATTAAACAGATTTGTGTAGATCCAGTGGCGTACGATATTTACTGATTTAGAGTAGCTACTCATTACACAGATAAAAACACACACTTGCAATGCTGACTTTTTCTTTTTAAATATTTATAAGATATAATTACTGTTCATGTCGAATTACTCTGTTAATTTATTGATTGACCTTGCCCAGTTCCATTGGGTGTTAGTTTGTGAAATGCAAGAAAACACGAGGTATTTATTAAATAATTTCAATTGCAACGTAATGATCGTTTATTAAACTAGCGAGAGTTTATTTTACAAATGAAGATAAATAATATACTATTATTACGTAATGGTAAATATGTACAATTTGCCAATCTGATGTTATTGATTGTATACTAATGTTATCAATCATCATCACTAAAATAAAAATCGCTTTCATTAGAGTCATCTTCGCCTAAATCAATGATTACGTCATTTACGGAAATTGCAAGAACATGTTCTGATTCCATAAACTGAGATTCCACCTTTTTGGAATGTTCGCATGCTGATTGTATGACGCTTGCACAATCTTGGGCAAATTTTGTTTCTGCTAACCGTTTAATATCGTCCAGCTTGAATGTAGTGTTGTGTGAAGCAACCCACTGTTTAATATAAGCCCAAATTCTTTCAATGGGGTTCAATTCGGGATGATATGGCGGAAGTCGCAAAACTGAATGTCCATGGGCTGCTAATACAGAATCAACAGTATACTTTTTTGTATCAGACTGAGATCTGTGCCTTTTTATTACCTCATACTACTCCAGTTTGGTCATCTTTTTCGTATAGGGAACATTTTTCTCATCCAACCATCGTTGCATTTCTTCTTTTTTATTTGACAGTACGATGTTCTTTTCTGAGAGTGTATTGTGGTAAGCTGCGTTGTCCATAACAACGACAGATTCTGGAAGAAGATTTGGGATCAATTTTTCCTCTAACCATTTCATAAAATTATTTCCATTCATGTCATCGTGGTAGTCTCCAGTTTTGCTTCCGGATTTAAAAATTAGCAACGCATTTGGTACAAATCCACCCTCATGCAGTGCGTGTAAAATCACTAAACGTGGACCTTTCCCTATTGGTGGATGTAATCCCGCTGAAGTTCCGTCTGACCAAGAAGAAGGCCAAAGTATGGCTTGAATTGATGTAGGTTTCATCTAAATATACGATTGGCCGTTTTTCCTCACGGTATGATGATATTTTCTTCAAATATGCTAATCTGGCAACTCTAACATCATATTTCTCCATGAGGAACGCGCGATTATCCGCGGTTTTCTGCCATCTGAAACCATGAATTAATAAACTCACATTTGAAATTGAAACCATATGGTCCTTATAGTTGGCAAATAAGAAAATAAAGAACCGTTTCGATTAACAAAACGAGGCGATGAATCATCCATTACTGAATTAAAACTTGTTTTGCAACATTTTTCTAAAATGTATCCATAATAGAGCTGTTGCGTCTGTAAAAGGACCATACGGTATGCAATGATGCACGTAGCGTAAATTGTGCAAAATAAAATACTACTGATGATACAAATAATAACTACACTTACCTAAAACCAATTTTTGGTAGCAATCTCGCAAGAGAAGCTTTGCTTCCTTGATACAGCCCATCCTCTTTCAAGGAAACTAGCAGTCGGTCTAATGTAGGTTGTTGTTTGTGGATTATGTGGTAATTGTGGATGTGCCGCCTGAAAAAGTCAATAGTGTGTTGGTCCACTACAGATTTTGAACTGCTTCTGACGCGCTTGTTGCTTGGTGTGGTAAAATTCTGTTTCTGTCCACTTTGAATTTCCTTTCCTTCTTCCTGAACTTGTAATACCAAGTTTTTGGAAACTCCCAGCGCCTTGCAGCAACGTTCCAACACACATCCTATTGGAATTGTCACACCATTCGTAGCCTCCTCTTTCATAAACTGAAGCACATTATAAATTAACTCTCGACATTTACTATCATACACCATGATTTTATAGCACTAGATGCTCCAAATCGGATAAATGACATGCAAATAAATAAGAGAAGAAGTAAATTTCCGAATTTATAATAACATGAGCTCCCTACAAATGAGTTATTAATCATTATTTATCATATCAACATTATCCCTAACTTTCCCAAATGTTAAAGGTTTAATTAAATGCAATGATTAATAAACGATCATTATGTTGCAAATGACAATATTAAATAAATACCTCAGTGTTTTCCTGCATTTGAGAAACTGACACCCAATGGAACTGGGCAAGGTCAATCAATAAATTAACAGGGTAATTCGGCATGAACAGTAATTATATCTTATAAATATTTCAAAGAAAAGTCAGCATTGCAAGTGTGTGTTTTTATCTGTGTAATGAGTAGCTACTCTAAATCAGTAAATATCGTACGCCACTGGATCTACACAAATCTGTTTAATGCTTATACAGTTGACCATTCAAATTATAAACATCTATGCGGTTATAAACACTTCGCTCATTCATTGGGAGTCTAGAGGGTGGTTCCAACGGCCCGAATAATTACCAGTTTTATACCTATCTTTATTCAAAGCACAGCGACATTGAGATGAACAATAAACTTAGTGGGAGGTTACACTACTTTCTCCCGATTCCTTTTTTACGTGAGACGATCTATAGTCGTTACATTAAATGCGCATATTTTCCTCCGTTCCTCATTACAATTTAAAACCTATTTGCTTTACATCAGCAAGTGTAATTCTTATAATTTCCTACGTACATAGATTACCTATAATAAAAAACAACATAGAAAAAATTTAAGAAAGGTTTTGAATTGCATGAAATGTTACAATGACTGTTCCGTCAATATAAACTAGCTGACCCAACGGACGTTGTCGTCTTTCTTAGCTATGAATACTATTCAATTCGGACTGGAATAAATAATAACAAAGAATTATTTCAAAAATTTGCTGTGGCTAGCATAGGTAACATCAGCCCCACTTGCGCATGCGCAATTCTGCCCTTTTATGTTTTTATGTCAAATCGGTTCAACCGTTTAGCCGGATAAGAAATTTTGACACACTTGACCCCAAATTAAGTCTCCCGTAGTATCTTTTCGGTATCCTCGGTTGGAAAACACTGGAGCATCTTTCCTATAGTCCAGACCTTTCTGTGATTTTCATGTTTTCGGACGCTCTGGAGGTCAAACATTCAACAATGACGCTGAGGTGGAAGCCTATGAGCGCAATTGACTGTTGACACGTGACGACTAAGTTCGTTCTAGGGAGACGGAATTTGAAGTTGCCTATTCGTTGGGAAAAATGTGTTTCGATAGCAGGAGAATATGTAGAAAAAGAGCCTGTAATTGTTTTTTTATGTATAATAAAAAAAATATTAAAAATAAAGTCTTCTTTATATTTGATTCACCCTTGTAAAGTATATCTACCTGCGAAGATTATTAATACGCGAAGTAGATAAATTATGGTACGTTTTTGTTTGTTTATTATCAGAGTTGTTGGTGCAATTATTGGGTGTTTTTAAACTTAAATTACAATACAAATATAAAAAGAAACTTTATAGAATAAATGTCCTAACTTAAAGTGAAAGGAGAGAATAGGTAGACATAGGTAAAAAATCCTTCGCACAATGTATAAAAGAGGATACATCAATAACTCACCTTAAAAGCTTCTCTAAATTTCTTTGACATTATGTGATATAAGACTGGATTGACAGTAGTAGAAACAAAATAAAGCACTCCCGAAGTATACATTAGGACAATGTACAGTTTAATGAAAGTCGCTTGATCTTCGGGCGTTGCTGACGTTAAATAAACGGCGAGAAGCCGCTGAGCGTGGAAAGGTGCCCAGCAGATAAAAAATGCGACCACAACAGCAACTGCAAAACAAAATGTGTGTTATTATCTGTATAATTTACTATAGCACAATTACTATTAGGTACTATCAGTCACTTTTTAGTGAAATATTTGAAATTTGCTTTTGTTTCAGTGCCTTTTATCCTAAAGATGCTGAGTTCTAAATGGCGAGAAAACTATTCCTTCTATAGGAGGCTAAATGCAATAGCTACAATTAAAATAAATCTATCAGATTTTATGTTTTCTAACTAGGTACCTGCGAAATCTACTGTAGCACGAGTTCAGTTCACGGACAACTTGAAAGTGAGTATCGCAAGCACCGTCAAATCCCTTAGCCGCCTATTATATATAGATAGGGAGCCCGTGAACAGGATTTAGCGTCATTTTCACAAAGCTGAAACTTTGTCAAATGTTGAAGGTGTCATACTGAGTGTAGTAAGCGTTGTCACTTGTCTGCCAGTCCGGTGTTGGTGCGTTTAGCGTGCGTGTCGATTCAAAGATGCAATAAAGAAGAGTACATTCACACGATAGATACAAGGCTGCAATTTTGCATATTAATTATTTATTGTATAAACACACAAAAAATAATTGTCTGCCAATCCGGAGATGAGGATTATGTCCTGGCAGACAACGTTGAAGAGCGGAACTATTTGGCGAGGGAGTTGAATGTACCTACGGTTTTTTGCCTATATTTCGAAAATGGGAAGTCGTAAGCAAAAGTTTTTTTTTATCAAAATGGAAAGCTCATAACATTTTCCACAACTTTGTTTCTATATATTTGTTTCAAAAATCTCATCGTTTTCCAGCTACGGATGAACAGTTTTCAAAAAACTCACGTTATCGGCCGAACTTTTCATCTACCTTTCCTCAGCACTTTTAACGTAAAAGTGGATGGTTGTAGTGAATGAAATTTCCTTCAAGAATCACTGACATGTGTGGTGTTTATGCTTCGACAATTCGGTTTGACTTTACAGCTCTTGTAGTTTCTTTGTAACTTGATGAAATATTTCAAGAAACACGTTTTTCCGCGCGCTCAAAATTGTATGGTTTTTTTCAATTTTACAAGTTTGGTACCACCAGAAAAAGTTGAATTTTTCACTGATAGAACTCGTTGAGCATATAAACATCTGATTCCGTGATTGTACTTTTAGATCGCTCATTATTTCAGAGCCGATTTTACTGGGCTATTAGTGCAGAAATGTTATTAAGAGGCAGAGCAAAGCGATGCAAGCGTTATAGGGGGAGTCGATGGTGTCCGTCTGTCCGTGAACACGATAATTACTGTCAAACGCTTGGATCGATTTGGTTCAAACTTTGCGGAGTAGACTTACATGCCACATGTAACAAGTCTATTGAAAATGGGTCATATCCAATGACCCCGTAGGGTCACGCCTCTCGGTCTCTGACAAACGCTTGAACCTATTCGGTTCAAACTTTTCAGTTAACATACAGGGTGATTCCTATAGTACCTGCCACCGTTTGGGAGCGTGTAGGTGGTGCGTAGGGGAGTATTTTGATATAGGACACTTGGGGTCGGAAATCTAAAATAAGGGTGCCAGAGCCAAATTTACCTTCTGGAATTTCGCGCCTGTAGGTAGGCAACCCAACCGGCCGGCGGTGCACACGGAGCGATCTCAGGCGGCGATGTGTGGCTGACACTTGATCAGAATTTTGTTTAAACCCACGAAATCCCGTCTGCAACGACGCGTATCAAGTGAATAAACACTATGGCAATAGTATAATAATAGTTGGCTAGATGTAGGAAGTGCATTGAGAACAACGGTGGCCACGTTGAACACTTGTAAACGTTATTGCTTTTGACTGTCGTTTTCCCTCCTTCCCTCCCATGTCGCTTCCTCGCGCTAACTCGCTCTGCATCGCTCCGCGCGAAACGTCGGTCGGTTGGGTTGCCTACATACAGGCGTGAAATTCCAGAAGATAAATTTGGTTCTGGCGCCCTTATTTTAGATTTCCGACCCCAAGTGTCCTATATCAAAATACTCCCCTAGGCACCCCCTATACGCTCCCAAACGGTGGCAGGTACTATAGGAATCACCCTGTATATACCACATGTAACAAGCCAATTGAAAATGGATCAAATCCAATGACTCCGTGGGGTCACACCAAGGTGCTCTGCCGCTTTTTGAAACGCTCTTTATGGGTTTATTGATAATAAAATGTAATTCAACACTTCCCGCACTGATTACAAAAACATAAAATACTAACTATTCTAATTATTACAGCCCAAAAACTGCCCAAACCTCCAAAAAGGGTTTCTCTTATAACTCTTGGTACAAAGAACATTATATGAATGTGCGGTTTGTTGTGTTTGTTTTACAAGCTATGCTAATCTAGTGGGACAGAATCAACCCCTTAAGGTGTATTGTAAAAATGTTGTATGTGTGAAGATCTCGAGGATCGTTCGGTATTGAGTTGTATCGGATTTTTATTCAATGGTATTATTTAAGATGATGATTAGGTTAAATGGGCAAGGTTTTACAATTTAGTGTGCTATTTGAAAAGATGCCGTTTAAAAATTTAACGCTATATTATTATCAAAGCTTTTAACCGTCATAAGTAATTGCTTTACCATTCAAATGACTTAAATAGTGTTCCATTCGAATGTATAAAATCCATTTTATCCTAAAATCTGAAAATAATATAAAAATAAGTGATTATACGTTTGTGTATTAAATAAAAAAGGGGAATAATAACTTCAAACCTTAAAAGTTGATTTTTTCAAATGAATCCTGTTTTATTTTTTTGCACTTTCAAATGTCAAAGAAAAATTCTACATCGAATAATTATGACATTCCCTATATCTAGCTGTTACGCTTTCCGTTTTATTTCAGATTTTATAATATTATGACCGTTAAACATAATTTTCTTTTTGAAATTGAAGTCAACGGAGTCATAGGTACAGGGCCCTAAAGGAAATCAAACGACAAAAATTTTGGAAAAGTCTTGAATCACTTGAAAACCTTTGATGCTGGGTATAGGGAAATGTGGTACTATCCAACGACGTAGATTTTCATTGTAGACTTGGAAAATGCAATAAAATACAGGGTGTTCTATTTAAAATAAACAATTTGCTATTCACATCCGGAAAAACCGGAAGTGCGACGATCATGATAATATTTTCCTTCGATGTATCATGAAAAACCATGTTGGTGTGCAAATTTCCAGATTTAAATTGTAGTGTTTTATTACATAATACAGGAATAGGAACTATTTTTATTTTGAAACATGAACAGAATGAATCAATTATTAATTATTAAATTTTATCACCTAGACAACAACTTATATTGTTTTCCTAGGATGTACCGATTGGCGTTAATGGTCGCCACAAAATTACTAATTGAACTCGAAATATTTTTAGGTAACGGTTTCCTAAATGTACGTATATCAATTTGACTTGTGACTATTATGAATTGCACTAGTGTAAATGAGATTCTTATTTGTCTATCCCAAATTTAAAGAGACAAATCAAAATCTCGTTTACTATATGCCCTGCAAATACGAGAAGTTGGATCAACCAGTCACAAACCACTTAGTAGTGTAGTTTTAACTATATTAGAGAGATTGAGCATGATAACGAAAAACGTAGAAGGCACAGGTAATAATGTGATATAACGTCATACGCTATTTATTTTGTGTATGAAGTAAAGCCCTTTTGTCACAGTTAAACGTTTTAGTAGACTGCAGAGGCTGTGTGCACTTTAAACCTATTTATTTAAAAAAAAAGACACGTGCAAAGGATCTTCCTTTGATATTTACATGGAAACGTAACATATCAATCAATTAGGATGCGTAAGTAGATAAATCACAGATAATGTTGAATATTAGAATAGTACCTTATACCTTCATATTCAAATTATAGACGAGAACTATTTTCGTTAACTAATTATGCTCCATAATATAAAATATATATGTTTGCATACATTAAATTCCACCAACAAAGCGGCTACTGTAAACATTCTGTCAAACGCATATTTTACCTCGACACGCCTTTGGCATTCGCTTTTTATTAAAAAGTTACACGCTTTGCAAATTGTGTCTCGCCGCCCATGAGTGCCATGACGTGTGAAAAAATTTCAAGTCAATCTAAAGCGCGAAAGTGACGTGTAATGCAGTTGTCATGTAACTTTCTTAGTTCAACCTTTGAATATAAAATATGTTTTATATTCAAAGGTTCAACGGAAGATCTTTTGTTTACCTTTTGAGTGTCAAAAATAGCTTCTAAATGGGAAAATACTATTAACGAAATATCGAAGGATTACTCTAACTTTTATTCTGTAAAATAGCCCTTATAAAAGAAAAAATTAAATAAATATAGCAAACGAGCTCCTGGGTATGGCTATAGCATGTGCAAAACCAAATTTTAAACCTGATGTTAGTTTTGCTTTTATTTAAAGTGTATATGTATGAAATTTCATTTAATTGCTTCCATAAACACCCCCACTTAACTAGACATGTATTCGAGTATAACGTCAATATGATTTCATTGTATTTCCTATTTTTAAATTATATTGCAGGTATAATAAAAAATGGCGAAAAAGCTTGAAGAAGCTGTGGATACGCAAGCCGTAAAGCATGAGACTAAATAAAATAAGAAGAAACAGTTTTAGGTTACATTAAATTAAGTTCGACAACCAATATGATCGATAAAGTGTCCACGGTAGAGATTGAGGGAGAAATTGAAATTGGATAAAAAAAAAAATAAGTTGTAAATCAGCATAATGCATGATTAAAGCGCATTTTTGGTAATGCAGGTCAGTATTTTATTAGCGAAGTTTAAAATTATCGATCTCACGAGTAATTTTGGCTGCGTTAAATAATGAATTTTTTATTATACCTGAATCACAATCTCCGTTTTAAACACTCAAATGCGTGCGAAAAAGGGCCTTTAAAACACACGTGCTTTAAAGTTGCTAAGTAACGATACTTTAAGTATGACTTTTGAAACTGTCATCTGGATGAAATAAAAAATCCTCTTAGGTCGCTTTCTGTAAATGCAGAACAT